TTTTGATCCCTTTAATAGTTCATTACCAGAATTATACTCAATTGTCATGTCTATAAAATAAATAAACCCAAAAGTCTGTTAAAAAATAGTGAATCAGTAAATTATATTGGATCCTTAAAATTACATATATCTACTGACATTTTAGATGAATCTAATATTAGGAATTCTAATAAAATCATATCTTAATTATTAATGAATAAAAAAAAATTGATAATAAACAAGGTCATGAAATTACAACTATAAATAAAAATTCTTATTATAATTTTTATTATTTTTCTTTACTTGGAACATTCAATCTATTTCTTTAATAAATATTTAGAAATCTTCTATAGAATCTGTTTTAGTGAATTGGGTCATTGAAAATAATGTACCACAAACTAATGTTAATAGTCTTTTAGCTATTTTAAAACGACACAAATTCAATACCTCTTGACTATCGCATTTTTACATACTAATTTATCTCTAACAATGAATATACAGATCATATTTCCAAACAAATATTATCATTTTGGGCTTGCAAATGGAATAACCAGATGTTCAAAACGGTATAATTTAGAAAATGAATTATGGTGAGAGTTGATGAGTTGCCATTAGATAAAAGTAGTTCAAGTCAATTTTATTACATTCTTGCATACATAAGGCTTTTTAGTGAATTTATTTTTATTATTGATATTTACCGTGGTTATGAAAAACCAAAATAAAGTAATGAGTTCTTGGATAGTTCTATTAATAGCGCTAAGGTCTAACATAAATTGGTAATAAAATAAATAATTTTATAAAATCGGTTAAAATTTTTAGGACCTTTGCTGATTGACTACCCGCTCCTTTATCACTTAAACTAAAGGTCACTATGGTTATTTTTCTTTTTCAAGGTGTTTTGAAGAAGGAGAATATATAAACAACTATATTTGCTATTGTTATCATGCGATTGAAATTCGAAAGATAGATCTTGTTTGTTATACAATAAACTTAGTGAAGAACATCCTAAAGGAAAATTACCTAATCTAACATTTTCAAAAGTTAAGTTGAAAAAGTTAATTTTTTGTGAAAAAGTTGTCATTTTAAATCCCACCCTGTGGGCAGATAAAGGGTCAGATTTACAGAAAAAAAAACTAAATAATAAGTGAAGACATCAATCATTTATAAAAAAAAAAA